CTAAAAAAAAAAAAAAAAGGAAAAAAAAATTCCTATTAAACTTTTATCGCCTCACCAGGTTGTTCCATTAAAGACAGGATGTTACGATGTAATTAAAACGGACGATTCGTCGACTAATAGTCTTCATAATTCCAATGGTGCGATGAGAGAAGGGCGAGAGAGAGAGAAAGAGAGAGAAAGAAAAAAGAAAGAAAGAAAAAGAGAATAAAAAAAATATAAAAGTGAAGGGAAAGCGGGTGGGAACGAATTAACGCGCAATTGTAGCATGTATTCGAGCGAGCTGTGAAAGGGAAGGGAGGAGGGGGAGGGGAGGGTTTAGCTTGAGCGGCGGTCGGACAGAGAAAATGGCCGGGAGCAACTAGCACCTGGAATCGGTCATAAAACGTAACTTCATTAACCCGATTAGCACAGAGCCGGCTCTGGAACAGGGGTTTTCGAGATACCCGCCGCGAAATTCACTCCGGTAAGCTTGGCTGTCGGCGAGGGTTAGCTTGGTTGCGGCGCGAGGGATGCCGCGCTCGCTTGTTTTCACCGGATATCTCGTGACGCGTAAACCCGAGTTCCAAAATCTAATCGATATTCTATTGCAAAGCAAACACCTGTGAATACAGAATCGGTGAGCTACCACCCTTCCGACCATCGTTCGTTCGATTTTCTTTCTTTCTTCTTTTTTTTTTTTATTTTTATGCGAAGGGGGATGTCGATGTATTGTTGTCATGCAAATTGGAACGGTAACCTGTGAATCGAGATGGCGAGAGTTGCATGACAATGCGAGCCGATCCGCGACTTTTGAGACTAATTGTGGGTGTCTGGCGGTTTGATGGGAGGAGGAACTAGAAAGAATTTGAAAAAGATTGTGAATAGAGTTTGAAATATTAGGGATTTAAACGAAAAATATTAGATCGATTTTAAAATATTTTTTTGTTTAAATAAATGTATTAATTAATATAATATAATTGAAGAAATAAAATATTGATGAATTAAAATGAAAAATTAATTAATACGGAAATAATTTTTTCAAAGAAAATTTATCATTTAATTGTTATGTAAAATAGTAATAATTATGAAATAATAATATTACTTAATAATTCATTTAATATACATTGAAAATTCTTTTTAATCTCTAATGGCTAAAATAAAAATGATTTTAAATAAACTATAAACTATTTCTTTTTCTATAATAAGATTGAAATTTTTAATTTTATAAAAAATTAAATTATATTATTATATAAATTATAATAGTATTTAATAATTCGTATAATATTCATAAATATAAATAGTTTACTGGTTTAACATTAAACACTTAATATTAAACTAAAATTTTAATTCTTCTTTACATTATATGATACTATTAATAAAGGAACACTATTCAAATTAGTAATAAAATTACAAAATTTCATTATCAGTGAATTCAGTGTTCCTTAATAAAATAAATTATTCACTAAAATCAATCAAAATGTAACCAATGGTCGTATGTATTCTCAAAAACACTCTTTAATCTCTCTTCTTCCTTACTTCTCCTTTTATAGTTATATTTCTACTCCATTGCGGATCGACGAAATCGAAAAGACCATTTCCACAAAAATAGGTGAAAGTTCAAGAGTCGAAAGAGCAATTTTCTCTCAAACGTGGGGCGCAAATACACAGGAGACAAACAGGACATAGAATTAAATCCGTATTTGCTAGCAAACAGGAAACGGACGTGCTTTCGAAATTGAATACGTGGCGTATATATCGATCGTGGTGATGTTTCGTAGTCGGATACGATGCTATTCTGCGCGATCCACTTGAGAAAATCGGCTGGTTTAATTAATAATATGACGGTAATTTTATTGGAGCGATGATTCGCTCTAATAACACAGCTTTATTGTTAGAATTGGAGCAAACCGCTTGATAACACGCGAATGTGATTTCTAAGAATATTGAACGGAAATTTTGAAAACAAAAATATTAGAACCAATTGTCTAGATTGATGTAAAACAAAGAAATTCCTTTAACGCTTTCAAGATTTCAAGCTTTTCTAAAATTTAACACTCCAAGTATATCTTAAACATGTTAGAAATACGTTAAAATTAATATTGAAAAATTTTATTAAATATTAATATATTTGAGATCATCGATGTGTATGTTATAAATTTGCTATTCATAAACTTTTCTAAAAAGTGTGAAATGTAAGAAAAAGTTTTCTATATATCCATTTTCTTTTCACAAATACAAGTATCATTCTCGATAAAATCATCGAGAATCATTATGAAAATTTTTGCATTTTTTGTTGTACATTTACAACTTTATTTTTTATATTCGTCGAATATTTATTATTCTCGCCGAAAATCCACTTTGATTTTTCTTACAATTTTAAATGTAATATGTACTAAAATAATTTTAATAATAATAATAATAATTTAATGGAAAGATTTCACGAGACACATTACGAAAAATGAATAAGACATTGATAATACTCAATACTTTTGAATTATTCTAATAACTTCGAGATATTTTTAAAAATTGTCAATCTACATACCTGATCGATCTCATATCTAATCTAATCGATTTCATCCTTCCCATTCACGTATTAAAAACACATCTCTGATAACAGCACAGCATCGAGGTGGTCTAGACAGCGGGGCAAGAATGTTACAGAGTGGATCAGGGGAGAGTACTCGACGCCATTTTACTTTACTTACACCGTTCCCTTCACAAATGATATATAAAAGCGGCTATTTTTCCGCGTATCCGCTACACACCGAATAATATGACGTTGGCTGGCGCACGAATGCAGCAGCAACCCTCGACAGCCTCGCGGATCGAGCGAAATCTTTTTCTGCCTTCCCTGACCAGTATGCTCTGCTCGAATGCAGAGCATAGAGACGCGGCCTATAAAAGCACCCCTGCATTTATACACGCGGCCTAATATCGCTGAGTGCCCTGCTCCCTCGCTGCTATCTCCCTCCCCCACGCCCCTCCCCTGTCTCGTCGACCTCTCGTGCCTCGTGTTTCCCCGGTTGAATATTAAAAAAAAGCCTACCACCGGCCCTCGCCTGGTGGTCCTCGTGCACAGACCTGAAGAAGCACTTCCTGTCGCCGCCGTACTCGTTGTCCGTGGAGGCTGGACGGAACGCGGAACTCC